GAAATCTAGAGCTCCAGGGGTAACCTCACAATGAAGGCTGCACCAGCCTCTGCCCTGGTGGGCCTGACGGGCCTCCCCGCCCCCAGCCAGACCCTCTGGCACTGTCCCCTACCGACGATGGTGGCTTGGAACTCTGTGGGCCCCACGGTGGGCCAGGAGCACTGACCCTTTCGGTCTCCCGTAGCTCAGTCCACGACTTTCTCATTCCCAGAGATCACGTCCCCCCATGCCCAGGCTGGGCTGCAGCTGCCAGGATTCGCCCCTGAGCACCCCTAGGTCTGGCCTGGCTGCTGCTGTGGGAGCCCAGCGAGCCTGGCAGAGGGGCTGTCCTGGTGGCTGTCCCCACCGCCCTTCACTCCCCAGGCCCCTCTCCTTTCTCTCCTTGGAGCCCCTGCCCTCCCTGCCCTTCCTCTCTCCTCTCCTCAGGCCCGCAGAGTTCTTGCTCCCTTATCCGGTGTCCACGTTCTCTCTGTCCTGTCTCTGCTTCTTCCCAGACTCGCAGCAGCCACTTTGTGGGGCTTTTGAGCCCGCAGACCCAGTTAGTCCCTGACCAGTTCCCCATGTTGCACAGAGACTTCCCTTTCTGAGCCCTGGAGGGCTCTTAATGACCCCACAGAACCTCCCTATCCCAGCTCTGCCCCTTTCTCTGAGGCTCAGTCTATCCTACTGGGAGCTGGACACCAGACTTGGCCTTGGGGAAGCTGGACACTTCTCTGGTGTTGCTCCGGGCCTGTTCTGGAAATCTCTCTCAATACACACACTCCCACCTAGGGCCGCTCAGCCTGGCCACGCTGCCTTCAGGTGTCCTGCGGCCTGAAAGTGACCCCAACCCCCCCATATCGCCTGTGCCCACTATGGCACCCCGAGTGCCCCTGTTCTCCCTGCCCTGAGCACATTCAGGCCCCAGTGGTCTGCGGCTGTCTCCTGTAGCTCTGACATCTCCCCCTCTCACTTTCGCTGGTCTGAGAATCAAATCCATCCCTGATGGTGGGTCATAGGGTCACTGTGGGCTTGTGCTGTCTGGGGACCCCGTGGGCAGTGAAGGGTTCCACACTGGGCTTAGGCTCTGGGCAGAGAAAGTCCATCCAGTCCTTGAGACGTTTGGGAAATACCTGGAGGTTTGCAGGTTCTTTTCCTGAGGCATGATATGGCCACTAAGGGGACTGGCCCCCAGGAAGCATTGGGGGCAAGGTAGGGGCTCTTCCCGGTGGGCACTGCAGAGGGGGTGTACACGGAATAGGCCCCATGGCATGGGCATGTCATGTCAGGTTCTGATCCATGGGGAGACCCCCACAGGACAGCTCATGCTTCATCAAGAAGCATGAGCCGTTCCCTGGCAGGACCCACACACCCAATGCCACACACCCACACAGGCTGGGATGCATCCATTTGTAGAAACAATCTTGGAAACAGGACAGTGGCTGTCAGGGAGACTGATTCAGTCCTCTCCCCTCTCTCTCCTCTGCCACCAATTCATGATCCCCTAAACCGTCCCAGGTAGTGCCTAGAAATCAGTTGCTGACTGTTCCAGCCTCCATCCTTTTCAGGACTTCCTTTTCCAGAATAGAAAAAGTGCACTGGAGGAGGGGGAGCTCTCGGCTCAGACTTTTGCTTGGTCTGTAGCCCATGAACCAAAGGTTTGAGTGTGGCCTCGTTTTCCCTGGGTCAAGGAGGGGTAGATGGTTGTACCCAAGTGCCGTTTTGAAAATCGGATGCTCTGAATGAGTGTTTCCTCTAAGCACTGAGATCCTTCCAAGTACTGCTTCATTGACCCTCATGGCCTGTGTACATACCTGAGAGGTTTGGGGTTTGTGGGGATCTCTATTTGCTCCAGCCTTTGTGATCAGGAGACCCTGTGGTGCCAGGGAACGTTCTTGACCTCATGCATCCCAAGCCTGTACTGAGTCTCCTGAGATTTCTCTCTGGACTTCTGGACAGAATTTTAACTCAAAAAAGTGGAAAATGCCCTGGACCATGCAAAGACAGCCCACAAACCGGAAATATCTCAACATTTAGGTGGGAAAGCAGGGGTGAGGTGTCATTCTCCACTCCTCTCTCCTGGGATATAGTCTAAGGTGGGGGGTGGGGAGGTGGTCATTTATTATTGCTACTCTTTGAACTATTTCTATGGGGGTGAGTATTTCTGCTCCTGGGACTCCTTATTGTGTAGTGTTGGAGGACATGTCTCCTATCTGAGCTCTGTTCTCTGTTGTGGGATATTTCTTACCCCAGAGCTCTTGTGTCTAGTATTGGAAAACAATTTTCCCCAACATCCCTAGTGTTATTTTCTGGAGGAAATTTCAGCTCTGCTCATCCCTGGTGCCAAGTAATTGTGAACATTTCTCTCCCCGGAACCCTGCTGTCTATTGTTAGGGGAAACCTCTGCACCCCATGTCACTGGTGCCTACTGCTTGGGGCCTGTTTTTGCCTCCCAGACCACTAGTGTCTATTATTGGGGGACATTTGTGCCCCCCACATCCCCGGTGCCCAGTGTTGGGGTAGATTTCTGCCTCCAGATGCACAGTCTTGCCCACACTACCAGCTTGTCCTTCTTGACTGTTACCACCTCCAGCTCCTAGGGCTTTATGATCTCCACTGTGTTCGCCTCCACTTCAGTGCCCTTGGATTGACTGAAACTGGATAGACTGCGGGGCAGCCCCAGGCTCTCAGCCAACCAAGGGAGGTGGAGGGCTCGGGAGCAGGGTCTGCCTGGTTCTGCCCCCAGAGTGTCCTGCCTCTTGACCCCCACTGGGGTCAAGTCCTGGCCAAGTCCTGGCCAAGTCCTGGCCTGAGTCAGGCCACTGTGGAATGTCCAAGTGGACTGTCACTGCTCAGGCAGAGTCACAAGTGGAGGGCCAGTGCTGTCACCCCCTTTCCCTCCCTCACCCCTTCCCACTAGCAGGGAAATCCCTCTTATGGCCTCTAAGAACTTGAGCAATCCTTCCTTAGGGCACTGGGAAAAGGCCGGCCCTGTCTGCTTGCAGCACTTTTCTTTGGGTGCTGGCACCACACCCAGGCTTTACTCCTGACTTAGTTCAGGGACCATACCTATTGGACCTAGGGGGGCCCATTGATCCAACGTCAGCAGTGTGCAAGACGATCACTTTATCTGCTGGACTAATACCCTGCTCCAAGCAGTACTTTTCTTTCAGCTGCTTCCCACCTAAATCTCCTTCCTGTAGAGTTGGGCTCCCTTAAAGATGCCCCACTCCCCCATCTGTCCGGCACAGTGCCCAGGGAGATAGCCCCGTGGAACCCGAAGCTTCCACTCCCAAGCACTTTCAGACTTTTCAAGAATGGGCCCCAGGGATATTGCAGGGTTTAAGGTGCTTGCCTTGATGCAGCCCAGCCCTGTTCAAGTCCTGATACTAGGATCTCCTGAGCCCTGCTGAAGAGGAGAGGGGACCTCTGCCCACATTTCCTGCAGGCTAACTTCAGACAGGCTATCCTGGAGAGCAGGAGCTGCCATGAGGCACAGGGTCTGGGGGAGACGAGACAGCCACGGAAATCACCCGGGATATCCCAGAGGTGGTCTGTCACACTGTTCAACTTAGAAACCTGGGAAAATCCCCCAAATTTTCCTACGTTATTCATATGCTCCAGATCCTTATCTGCACCAAGAAAGCTTGGTCATTTCTTGTTCCATACTCTCCGGTCAGCTGCACGGTAATACCCCGTCGCCCATCAGATCTGCTGTAAAACTGATCTCTCGCCTTGTGCGGTGTTCAGACTTTGGAGCTGTTCATTCCATTAGCACTATTATCTCATCATGTTCTCCCACATTCCAAAATGTGCTTTTTTTTCCTTTACGGGTCACACCCAGCGATGCACAGGGGTTACTCCTGGCTCATGCACTCAGGAATTACTCCTGGTGGTACTCAGGGAACCATATAGGATTCTGGGAATCAAATCCAGGTCAGCCGTGTGCAAGGCAAACACCCTACTCACTGTGCTATCACTCCCGTCCCTGCTGCTTGGTTTTTATTTAGCTTTAGGCAGAAATTTTAGCAAAGTACGTATGTGTTCATAGTCGTTGAAAACTCAAGATTATATTAGTGCTGCAATTCTCATTTGTGAAACAACAAAACTCACTACCAAGCAGGGGAGAAAGGAAGACAAGACCAAAAGGAAAAAGAGCAACACCCAAGCAGTGGCACCTGGTGCACAGGAGGATTTGGCAGAGAGCATGGAGGCTGGGTGGCACTGCCACTCGTCCAGTGGAGACAGCACTACCCCAATAGAGTTGTTAAGGCCAGGCCCCAGCACCTCCAGTGGAGACAGCCCTACCCCAGTGGAGAGTTTAAGGCCATACCCCAGCACCTCCAGTGTGCCCTTGGTCTAGAGGAGGCGAGAACTGGCAGGGCAGACAAGGGGCAGGGAGAAAGAGGGGAGCCGGAGCAGGAGCAGGAGTCAGGGGTGGAGGATGGGGAGGGGCAGAAGGCAGGCCCCAGATCATTGGCCCAGAGGGCCATGCCAAACTGCAGGAGAGAACAAAGTGCCTATATGACAGCAGACAAGCTGTGACCCTCTGTGAATGGGAGTGGCAGACATTCAAAGTTGGGTAGCTTCCAGAAATGTCTACTGACATCAGGACCACTTGGACAGTCTGACAGAGTCACAGGGAGTCCCCAGGCAGGCAGGGAAGGCAGGGTAACTTGGTACCTACACTCCCAAGAAAAGCCTCGTGGAAACGGTCGCCCCATGACCTCCAAGACAGGGCAACATAGGAAGCAGAGCTCGATGAAGGTATCGGATGTGCAGCCCTTCCCTGCTTTTGCTGGGCCTGAGAATCCATGGTCTCAGCAGATGCTGGGGGTTCCATATGGAAAACAAGGTTCTCCCTGTTCCCCACTTTAGTATCTTATTGGTGTTAGAGCTTCCGACAGAGCTAGAAGAGCAAATAAATGTCCACCTTGACACTGTGGATTCCCACTTTGGAAAATACCCTCTCCAGGCGCCCTCTAATGGCAGTATCATGCCCCTCTGCTGGTAAACTCATGCTAGGAGTGAGCCTCCAGAGACAGTGACAATGTCAGGTAGACCGTGAGGTGTGGCTAGGGATAGGGAAAGATACTGCGCAGGTGTGGGAGGCAGGAATAGTGGTGGGATGCAGCTCAACTGGGAGCAACCCATTGGCCTCAGTTGAGAAGTCATGACCTGCGCCGAGTCAGTGTGGTCGGTCCTGCTGGTCACCTTGTGGTACCCAGCCCTTCCACTTTCTTGAGTCTGTTTTCCTCTAGTGCCCAATGATTGACAGGCTTGAACCTCAAAAGATGTGTTTCTCCCTTTGCAAATTGTTCCAGGAAGCAGACCCCCGTTTGCCTTTGGGCCAAAGGATCCAGAGACAGGAGGAATCCTCAGTTAGTGTGGACCCGTTGCCCAAGGATTCAAAAACTCGGCCACCTTCTTCAGGAAGACCCTGGCTCTGGACTTAAGGAAATCCTTGTTGGAGCCCTAGAATGCACCATCCTGCAGTCTGTAGATGATTCAGTCCTAGTGTCAGAAGCCAAGAGGACTGAAAGAGAGCCTCAGAGGCTCTGCTCCAGCTCTTGGTTGAGGCTTGGCACCACACCTCCTGGAAGAATGAGCATTTAGAAGTGAAAAAAAGAAAAATAACCCCAAAAAACCCTTTCTAATCAGCAGTAGGGCCCAGAGGCAAAGAGGTTGATCCTCTTAGTGCCTGAGAAAGGGCACCAGGTTCTAGGTGCCCTGACCCAGAGTAGGGCCATTGGCAGAGGTCTGGGCATACCTGTCTCTGAGGCAGGGGGCTCTGATCTCTCCCTGTGCCACAGAGGTAAACAAACTATCTACCTCCAGGTCCCCATTCAGGAGTGACACTGATGACTAACAAAGGGCCCCAGTGGCTACCAATTGCCCAGATGGCACAGTCCCTGGGATTATGTGAAAATCCACGTCTAACTTTTGCGACTCTAGATTTTGGTGTGAAAACCCACTCTAACGTTCGCGACCCCAGCCTTTCTGCCTATCGGATGGGACCACATCCTCTGACTTGCAAGGAGCAGTGGATTAAATCTCTTGCTCAGAACCACTGAACAGTTCAGGAGCAGTTTCCAAGCTGAGTGGCATCCGGATAAAGACCATAAGAAAGAAGCCCTGAACCCTCTGGAAAGGCTAAGAGGGGCGCGCTCGGGGAGGGATAGGGACAAGCACGAAACATGGTGAGACCCCACGATCTCTATATTTCATATTAAAAATTGAAATTTATTTCTTTGGATTTATTTTTTGATTGGGTTTTTATTTCATGTTTTGAGTTTGTTTCTGCATATATGGATGTGTTGGCGGCGGTGTAACTTTTTTTATCCAAGTATTTTTAAAAATTTTTTTATTAGTGAAACACCATGAGGTACAGTTATAGACTTACAAATTTTTCTGCTTGGTATTCAGTCACACAATGATCAAGTAACCATCCCTCCACCAGCGCCCATCCTCCACCACCACGGGTCCCAGCAACCCTCCCACCCCCCCCATCCCCCCTCCCCACCCTGCCTCTGTGGAAGGGCATTCCCCCTTGTTCTCTTTCTCCTTTTGGGTGCTGTGGTTTGCAAGAGAGGCACTGAGTGGCAATCATGCTTGGTCTATAGTCTACTTTCAGCATGCTTGTCCCACCCTGGGAGGATCCTCCCAACACCCTTTATTTGGTGCTCTCTGCTCTATCTGAGCCTACTTGGAGGCTGTGTAACTTTTTTACATGCAGAGTACGAGTCTCAATGTTGTTCTGTTTGGGTCATCTCGCCACTCCTAGTACGCAGTATTCCTGCCATGGGGGCACGTCTGCAATTGCTTTGTGTAGCCGTAGAGCCTCATAGTCCCATAGCCCCATTCCTCAATGGGAAGGGGCAGAGGAGGGGAGAAGGGAGGGTGCAGGAAGGAGGAGGGGGAGAGGAGAAGGGCGGGAAGGAAGAGGGAAGAAAGACAAGATTGGGGTAGATGAATATGATTTTGACAGGGTAGGTAAAAGACGGAATTACAGGTGAGTAAGAATTCTCTTTGACCCTTTTCAGGGGCATGCAGGTGACAGGCTCTAGACATGGTGAATCTCATGTCAAGGGCCACCCACAATCTAGAAGCAACTGCCAACTGCCGGCAGGACCCACCTCGCCCAATACACATACCCACACGGCCTGGGATGGATCCATTTATTGAAACAGGCTTGGAAATAGGACAGTGACTGTCAGAGAGTGATCCAGCATGCCTCCTTCCTCTCTCCTCTCCTCAATTCATTAGTGCCCAAACAGCCCCCAAAGAGTGTCTAGAACTGGTTGCTCGATGTTTCCAGCTCTCGTTAGCTTCAGGGCTGCCATATGCAGAAACAGGGCTGTGTACTGGGGAGGGAGAGCTCGACCTCAGCCCTTGTTTGGCTTTTGAAGCTATCATGACTGAGGTTGGAGTGTGGCCCAGTTTAAATTTCTGCTCCCAACATCCCTGGTGCCTAGAGGTAGGAGACATTTTTGTCCCACTGATCCCTGCGGTCTAGTGTTGGGGGACCTTTCTGCCCCCTTGATCCCTAGGGTCTAGTGCTGAGGGAAAGTGGAAGAGTGTGGAGGAGGGAGGAAGGAGGAGAGTGGGAAGAACTGGATAAGGGCTAGATTAGTTGGAATTGAAGAACACAGGGTACATCATCAGGGTAGAAAAAGTGGATTAATGGTGAACAAGTTGTCCAGCAGAACTCGAGTGGACGAAATAGATTCTGGTTATTTGGGGGCAGGTCATTACAGTATCCTGATCTGAGGTCTGCGGCCTCCTGTTCCTCACAGACAGGAACAGGAGGGCCTCTCTGGGTTCTTTACACAATCCATGATCCCGCTCCCCGGGTCTGGACGCCAGACCTTAGTCTCAGATGCTTAGTCTTCTCACACGCCACCAGCCTGTCCTTCATGACCATCACCTCGAGTTCCATAGAGGTCATGGTCTCACAAACCTCCACTATGTTCACCTCCAACTCCGTGTTCTTCGACACTGGATTGAATGTGGGGCACTCCAGGGTCTCAGCCAAGCAAGGAAGTTGGATGCATCTCAGGGGTCCCGCCTGGCTCCACCTCCCATATAGCCCCACCTCCAGATCCCCAACAGGCACTTCTCCCTCCTGGAGACTGACCCCACCACTCACCCTCTTCAGGGTACCCTTGGGATTCCAGCAAGGCCTGGGGCTCAGTTGCTCCTGATTTCAGGACTGAGGATCCCCTAAAGATGAAGGCACCTGGTGAGTAGGCAGGTCTAGGACCGGATGTGCCTTCCTGTCCCTGAGCCCCTGCCCACCCCCTCACCTGGGTTTCCCTCAGCTCCCTGAAGGTGTCCTCCATCAGGGCCTGCTGCCTTGTTAGCACCTGCTGCAGCTGGTCCATGATCTGCTTGTGCCTCAGCACCTGCTCAACCTTGGAGCCCAGGTGAGTGGGACATCAAGGTGTGGGGTTGCCGCTGTGTGCTGCTTTTGGTACCAGCAGAAGCATTCCAAGCTGCAGGCACTGCACCTTCTGGTCTTGCATGCACATCTATGTCATGAAAAAGGTCGAAGGCTGTCCAAATCCCAGCCACAACATTCAGGGCCCAGACACTCACACACAGGCCCAAGGAAAACAGCACATCGGGTAACCTGTGCCCTGCACATTCCCCTGGGGGCCTTTCTCCCAAGGCCTTAGAAATGGGGCCTATCCCTACCTCAACCCAGCAGCCTCCCCGCTACTAGGACCCTCTCTGTGCAGTGAGGGCCAGTCCGCACCCCCACAACCCCTCTAGCCTCTTCTAGATTTTGATACATTATAGTGAGTGGCGTCCTGGCCGGTCCTTCCTCCCACCACCCCAGGCGGGCTCCTACCCTCACAGTGGGTCTCCCCCGGCACCTTCTGTCATTTCTCCATATCCACCTTGTCCTGATTCACTCCCCTTGCAGCTGATCTGGAGTTGGCTCTGCAGTAGCACCTGCTCCTCCTCCTGCTCATTCTCAGAGACCGACACTGGTCAGAGGCCACGTCCTACTGCGGGAGGCCGAGATCCCAGTCCTGTTGCTGCCGCAGACACTCACCTGTTTGTCTTGCAGTCCCACCTGTGGGCGCAAGGCTGGGAGTGAGGACAGGCAGCCAGGGCATCCTGCTCTGGGTCCAGGGATGTGGAGGTCAAGTACCGACTGCCAGGCCCAAGGCTGATAGCACTTGGGCAATCTGTCCCCTGTGCAGGCCCCCATGGTATTGCTCCAGGGGCCTAAAAGATGAGATCTCCCTTGACTGGGGACCCTGTCTCCTGTCCTGTGTTCAGGGATCACCCCTAATATTGCTCAAGGATCCATAGGAGGTGCCAGGAATCAACCCAGGATAGAAATATGCAAAGCAGACACCTCACCACCTGTTCTAGCTTTTGATATATTACATTTCCTTGTTTGTTTGCTTATTTGGTTTTGGAACCACAGCAGGGATCAGTCCCAGCCATGCTCAAGGGACTCTATGGGATGCCAGAGATTGAAGTCAGAGAGCCCAAGTGCCCTTCCCGCTCTACTATCTGCCGACCTCTTGTATCTTTTTCAAAATTAAAATTTTAACTTACCGTTGATTTTTCTACATTGCATCCCGAAAGGAATACCAGTTTACAATGGTGCGTGTGAAATTCCCAAATTCTCCAGCGAGTCCCACTGCAATAAGAACCGTCCCTCCCATCTTCCCCCTCCTCTTTTTCGCATACTTGGAGATTTTTGGAGGGACATACCCAGTGTTGCTCAGGCCTCACTCCTGGCTCTGTACTCAGGGACGACTCCTGGTGGGGTTTCGGGATCATATGGGGTGCCCTGGGTCACATCTGGATTGGCTGGTCCACAGGGCAAATGCCCTACCCTCTGGACTACCTCTTTAATCCTGCAAGATAGTTTTCTTGAAAGAAACTTACTCAGTAAGATATGAAGGGAGCACGTGTTCAAAACAGAATCTGGGCTAAAAGAGCTGACCACTCCCCCTAACTTCTAACAGCCAGTAACTGCCTGTACCCCTCATCACTGTTTTGTGTGTGTGTGTGTGTGTGTGTGTGTGTGTGTGTGTAATTTATATTTTTA